CGCCTTCGTCTGCCCGCTTCCTCGACGGTGAGCCCATCTACACCATCCGCCGCATCCTGGACGCTCGCCGCAGGGGACAGGGCTGGCAGTATCTGGTCGATTGGGCGGACTACGGCCCCGAGGAACGCTCCTGGGAGCCGGCCCGCTCCATCTTGGACCCTGCCCTTATCTCTGACTTCTGGGACCGCCGTGGTCGCCCTGGGACTTCTGGAGCCGTCCCTGGACCGGGGGGTCCTGTCAGAACCCAAGCCCCCGGACCGGCCTCTCCCAGCTAACCGGCCTCTATCTTGGACCACATTTCCCAGCATGCTCCTCGTGGGAACACCCGGCATTCTCCCAGTCACACCCAAGCCTATATTTGGAAGACGCCGCACCGGCTCTTCACTCAGTCATCGTTTCATTGAAACCCATGATCAGAGTTCTCTACCAAATAATCCAGACATCAAACATCCTTACCAAGCTCATCTCCCGTACCCAGTCGGCCATCGTGACATTTAGCCTGCAGCCCTTGTTGGGAGTGGAGGTTTGGCGGCGAGTGGGCCCTCTACTGACTTTTTTGTGACTGATTGGATTTCATGAGAGGGTGTAATCCGCATTTGGGGCATTGTTGAGGTTGCTGTGGCAGCAATATGCCAAATAGCCTGCCTACTGAAGAAGTGCAGAAATGCTGCGGTTCGGCGAGATGGATAAATGGGAGGTCCAATCGTTGAGAACAGCTTAATAATTTTTTTTAATCTCCACAATACATTTACATTAACTACATTAGCATGTTGTTAAGAGTCATGAAAGAAAAAAATAAACGTTTTAAGCTAATTTGTTTTCCAAATTAAGGAATGCAGCTTTAAACATATTGTCTATTCAACAAAATATGATTATATAAAACTTATAAAATTATAAAGTCATTTCTGAGCCAGGGGAAATAAACTTCATTCAAAGGGGAACAGATAAGAGGTCCATCTTCTGCAGCCTTGAGGACTCGCGACGTACCGCAGGATGACTTAAGAATATTGGGGTGGCAAGTTCATACACTTCATTTGTCTGAGTCAGATTGACCTGTATGACGTAGTTTGACCTGTAAGTTAAAAGTTAACTTCTGGTCATTTTAATGAAATTCTTGGCCATTTGGTGCGCTACAAAAGGTAACAGAATTAAACATAAAGGGAACTTGAAACATTGAATATTATGCAAAAAACAGAAGAATATTCACCCAAGCCATGCATTTTTGATCTGGAGATGTTTGTAAATGGAATGAGCTTCTGGTCCATTCAGACCAGAAGCTCATTCAACACAAACTGATTCTTCCTGTCTGCATTTCAGTGTGATGTAAAAAAAATCTTCTGCTCAATTGTCTCTCTCATTTAAATAATTAACCACTCTCAAAACTTTAATCTGTCATGTGAAAAAACGTCTCACAAATATGTACAAGCTATGACGTCATCAGTACTTTATTTAAATATTTTTTTTCTTTGCTGGCCTATAATTGTATTTTAAGCATAACAATGAGGTGGTTCTCTATTAAATCACTTTATCATATTAATACTTTTAGATGTTAATTAAATTGTGTTGCTTAGTGCATTCATTCATTATTGGTTATGTGGGTTCGTGTCTACAGTCAGGAACTGAGTTTGTGAATTAGTCCTAAGGGCTTACACACAGGTACTGTTAACATATAGTCTTCTCCCTGGTTGTTAACATTGAACTGAACTATTTTTATTTCGTTTTAATATTGATAAGAGGATGTTGAGACTTCTACAATTTTCTTTCTTTCTAAAAAATATTTTACATTTAACACAACTTTTAGAATTCTAACATTTAAATTTCATCAATAAATTATTTGGTCTCGTCGTCGTCTTCCTCTGCTCATCCGTCTCAGATTTTATTAATATATATATATATATATATATATATATATATATATATATATATATATATATATATATATATATATATATATATATATATATATATATATATGAGAGAGAGAGAGATTAATTTAGTTTGTGATGAAAGCCGAAACACTTCCCGCTGAACTAATTAAGTTGTTAAAAAAAAGAAGATGAAAACCACTTCACTCATTTCTTCACGTGGGTGTGTTAAAATTAATGTTTCACTTCATACTAACCTAACCCTAGCCCTCTAAATGTTTCCATTATTTCCAGAGGAAAGAAACTGCGTGCCTAATCGTAATGTTCACTGTAATTTTCGTATTTTGCAGAGATTACATACATAAGAAGCTGCTCGTTGTGGATCACGTGTTTTGCTTTAATCTGACTGATTGTGCGCCGTCAGGCCTGACGATAATAACTCACGTGTTACATATCACCTGGAGGACAGAAACGCCTCATCGGGCCCAACCCGCATGGACTCGGTTCCTGCGTTTCTCCACCAAAGAATCTTTCTGATTTTAGACCTGGTCCTTCAGACCAAGGCTTCCTTTCTCCATGGTCACAACTGGATTAATAACACTGGATGAGACGTTTTTGAATTTCTTGTTCACCTGAGATTGTTCTGATCTTCTTCCGTGAGCAGACGAGTCTGTCTGACCATGTTAAAGCACCACTGAGGACGCTAGGTGTGTGTTGGCCTTGAATTTGAGCTCATTCCATCCTTCTGGCCGATGTAAGAACATGAGTGACCTTCGTCAGGACTAGATGTTTGGCTTCAGCTGGACTGTGTGTGCGCGCGCACCCGTTGTGCTCTGATCATTCTGTGATTTCTCTTCTTTTTGAAGGTGAAAATCAAAGCAAAGCGGGGAAACGGAAGTTTGATTCCCAGCTGATTTACCAATGTTCCTCTGAGCAGGACATGACATCCCACTCTGCTTTACTTCTGTGTTTACGCCAAATGTATGCATGATAGAAATGAACGGAAGTGAAACATTTGGAACAGATTTATCTGTGGTGTCGGTTTCCACGAGTGGTAATTATATATCTTACCATCCACTTAAGTGCAAAACAAATCCAATGATTTTAATATGTTCGAGTCTGGAGCTCAACAACACCGAACCTTCCTGCAGCTGAAAGCGCCAAGAACACGGACTCTCGTTTCCGTTTTAGTCCGTTCTGGTGCGCACATTCCTAGAAAAGCGCAAAAGGTTTTGAATCAAGAGAAAGACAGAGAGATAAGGGCAACAGAAGCGGTGTGAGACTCTGAAAAAAAGAAACAAAATAAAAACCCATTGGAGAAAAAACAACAACTATTATTATTATTATTATTATTATTATTATTATTATTATTATTATTAAAATTATTATTATTATTGTGAAACAGGATTTTTTCAGCGCCTGGTTCTGTCGTAAAACACTTCGCTCTCATCTGTTTATTTGGACTCAAAAACAAAACCGCTTCAGATATAAAATATAGAATATTTTAAAATCTTTATTTCGTTCAAATTTTCAGGCAAATTATGAGTTTTGCTGTATCTTGTTTTTCTAAAGCTGCATCTTGGAGCATGCCCTCACCAACACTCTCCTATCTCACCACATCAGCGCAACACACTCTCACTCCGAACGCGTCGGAAACAAACGCTTGGTCGCTCAAACTCCACTGGCTCCAGTTAAACAACAGATCTTTTAACTGAACTTATTTCACTTCATTTATTTATTTATTGAATAACGACAAAGCAGCATGTCAGAAGACGCATCAATGTAAATATGCCAAAATTGGCTCAATTGCTGATTTGTATCGCACAACAGTTACATGCAGTAGATCACAAACACAATTACATTTACAAGAAAACATGGAAAGGAAGACGAAACATCAGGGTGGATTATACATGAGAGTAGGACTGGTTTATTTTTAACCACTGTTTTAATGTTTTATCAAAAATCACATCGTTATTAATGAATTTAGTTCTGCACTGCTGCTTTACCACTGGTTTGTACTCAGTATATTGGGTTTTACATTTTGTATAAAATCCTGCACATGTGGAGGTGCAAGTCCGTTCAGAACTCTGAAAAGAAGGCAGACATCCTGTGATGTCTGATAATCATCTGTATCCAAAATGTGATATTTCGTTAAGATATAATAAGGGAAACGGATCAGCTTGTTGTCTAAAAGGTCGATCGAGTTCAGATCTGTTCACAGCCTTGCTTATCTATCGGGTCTCATTCACATTGTTTCAGTCTTCTCCTTCAGCTCGTCCGCCTCCATCCGACCTCCATGGGCCTCAGATCCTTCCGTTGCTCTGCTCTCCGCCTCGGAATTTCTCCGCCACAAGCTTTTTGGAGCTCTGACTCCCTCTCTGCTTTCAAAGCTACATTAAAATCGCAGCTCTTCCAGAGTCTTAGATAACTATTATTTTTGTTTTCTGACTTTTGTTCTGTATTCCGGTTTCTACGAGGGATTTGTTTTAGTTTGCTTTTAACTGGGTTTTTATTATTTTCTTGTACAGCAACCTTTCGGTCCTTGAAATTCGCCTTAAAGAAAGTGTAAAATTATGTTTGACCAAAGTTCAGGCTGAAGCGGATCCAAACATGGTTGATCTTCATGTTTGTTTAGAATTATCCCTGAAGCCACAAAGATGTGAAGGCTTTGACGCAATGCAGCCGTAAAAAACTGCGCATCAGAAGCACCGCCGCGTCTGTCGGTCTCATGCCACAGCTCAGCCTCGTTCGTTTTTTTTTGTTTTGTTTTTTTACAAACAGTACAGACTGCTGCAACCCCCCCCCCCCCCCCCCCCCCCCCCCCCCCCCAGTTCCACCACTCCATAGTCCCGATCCAGGACACTCCCCTCTTGGTCCCGTGGGCTTGTTGCGTCAAAGCTTAAGTTGGTATGAAAGCGGAGTTCGGGCTGATAACCGGTCCGGGAGTCTTTGTCCTAACGGGAAAGGGACTGCAGCGCGCACACACACGTACACCAGAGTCTAAACGCGCGCGCAACCTCGAAATAACCGCGCACTGTGCGTAAAGGAGCGAAAAGTGTCTAAAATAAACGATCTCGTTCTGTAGATGTAGCTCAGCGCCAGAACCGAACCGAATCTGAGAGGAGAGGGTGACACACTGTGGTTCTGGATTCCCGCTGGGCATCAGAACCGGTGATGTTTGTGTATGACAACAACCTGGATGAGCGGACCAAGAGCATGGAGGGACTGGTAGGCAGCGGAAACTTCGCAGCGAGTCAGTGCCGCAGCATCATGGCGCATTCTGCGGCTGCAGCTGCTCTCATGAGCCACCCGTCGGGTCTGGTCCATTCTACAGCGGGTTACCCTACGGTGGACGGGCCCACTCCAGGTTCCAATGACACTTCTGCGTTTTTGGGGAAACAAGGTGGACCGTGTCCTGGAACCGCCATGGCGCACCAAAATGCACCAGCCCCTAACGCCCTACCATACAGCTACCTGGGCAAAGGCTATTATTCCTGCAAAATGGGCCGAGGTCCCCTCAAGTCCTGCACCCAGGCGGCTGGAGCCGCGCTCAGCTCTCAGTACATGGACACTGCGGTGAGTCCGAATGACTACCCGAATCACCGAGCCAAGGAGTTCACCTTTTATCATGGATATGCTAGTCCTTACCAGTCCATGGCCAGCTATCTCGACGTGTCGGTGGTCCAAACGCTCGGTACCGGAGACCCCCGCCATGACGCCCTTCTCCCCATGGAGAGCTACCAACCGTGGGCTCTGACCAACAGCTGGGGTGGCCAGATGTGCTGTTCCAAAGATCAGCAGGCGGGCCACCTTTGGAAGTCCGCGCTGGCAGGTGAAAGATTTGATCACTTTAGTGATTCGGTTTTACTAAAGTTTAATTTTAAATGATGAAGGTGAGCAGAACTTTACAAGATATTTATCTTGTTTTTTAAAACACTGATTTTATAATACATTATTATTATTATTATTATTATTATTATTATTATTATTATTATTATTATTATTATTTATTTATCAATATGTGCAGAAAACCACATCATTGAGGTCATGAAAGCTTTTTCTGCAACAGATTCTACCCATGCTGAACATAAACACACAGCTGGGTGTTCGCACTTATTTAGATTGAGTCATCTCAAGTCTGTGTTTACATCAATCAGTGCTATTAGTGTTGCTAGAATTATAAATACAGTTTGGCTATTGCTAGTGTGTGCGTGTGTGTGTGTGTGTGTGTGTGTGTGTGTGTGTGTGTGTGTGTGTGTGTGTGTGTGTGTGTGTGTGTGTGTGTGTGTGTGTGTGTGTGTGTGTGTGCAGCCTTGGATTCACTCTCCTCTTATTTTTACCAGATGCCGTGGCGCACCAGCACGACGGCTCGTCCTTCCGCAAAGGCAGGAAGAAGCGCATCCCGTACACCAAGGTGCAGCTCAAAGAGCTGGAGACAGAATATGCGGCCAACAAGTTCATTACTAAGGACAAGAGGAGGAAGATCTCAGCTGTGACCGGCCTGTCCGAGCGCCAGATCACCATCTGGTTCCAGAACCGGAGAGTGAAGGAGAAGAAGTTCGTGGCTAAAGCGAAAGGCAGCGCGCTGTAGTGCGCATGCTCCGACTCTCTGGACACTTCAGTGAGACGATCTTGAGGTTTTTTACCACAACGTAGAGCAGAATAAATTGGGACAATAAAAGAGCCAAAGCGGAGCGCGCAGAGCAACACATTGTGTTGCGCAGAGCTGTCTGAGTTACCAAGTAAACAGAAAATAAAATGTGTGACTCGATGACTTCAACTCATGTAAATATTTAATGCGTTCCTGTGTGTGTGTGTGTGTGTGTGTGCGTGTGCGTGCGCGCGCGCGTCCTGTTGGGTTTTTACCAGCGATGAGCAGAGTCAGCTGGTACCAGTACCAGTATTCATTGTGATGGGTCCAAAAGCTCGGCTGAACAACATGGTGTCGTTGACATGAATGCATACATTTAATTTTAATTCATAAAAAGTTTGTTTTAAATTAAATTTAAATTATTCAATTATTCCTTATTTAAGGGGTTTTACACACGTGTGTGTACACACAACAACGACGATAAATAACAACAACAACAACAACAAAAACATTACTACTACTACTACTACTACAAATAATAATAATAATGATAATAATAACACTAATAACAATCATAATAATCATAATCATACTCATAATAATAACTGTAGTAACAGTTTATAGTAAATTATTACTTACTGAAGTGTAGTTTGATAAATCATTATTTGATAAAACTCAATTGTTTTGTCCAGAAACTAACTAACTAACTAACTAACTAACTAACTAACTAACTAACTAACTAACTAACTGATGAAACGTGGGGCAAAGCGTTTGAAAAGCTACTGTGTGTTACAATGAGGCCTAATAATGAGGCCTGTCGTACATGGAGAGGGAGTGCAGTTTGGGGCAGTGAATGAGAAGGCTCGCTCTCCACGAGATTTGTAATGCATCTTCGGGATGCACAGGAGTAGGGGATCTGCGGATCTAATGGATCTAGAAGGGACGTAAGGTTTTATCAGTTCAGCAAGGTAAGTGTGGGAGTTGGCCCATTCTTTATAAAAATAAAGGTTAGGATCTTGATCTGAACGCGGTACTGAACAGGTAACCAGTGTAAGCGGGAGAGGATGGGAGTAATGTGACATCGTCTGAACGTGGTTTTCAGGAATCTAGCTGCGGCGCTCTGTACTCGGTAAAGACGCTCAACCTTAACCTTAACCTTAACACCATTGAGCACTGAGTTAGCATAGTCCAATCATGAGGTGATAAAAGTGTGGATGACTGACTCCTTAAACAAGTGATGGGAGCAGTTGGAAGAAACAGGACTTGACTGAAGTCATGGACAAATCAGAGTCGAGTCTCACTCCAAAACTAGTCACACATGGTTCCAAGTTTAGCACGGGAGAGAGGTGTTACCAGGTAATTGGGATTTATTGGAGTAAAAATAATAGAGTATGTCTTGTTTTTGTTGAGGCATGGAGAGTTGCCAAAAGCCAGTTTTTGACTTCAGAGAGGCAGTCAGCGAGTGGATTCAGGTTTATTCAAAGCCAAATAAATCTGACAGACCAAGTTTTGCTAAGAACATTCTCAGTGGTAACAGTAAATTGAGAAGAGGAGTGGCCCAAGATTTAACCTTGAGGCACACCCCAGGTGTCATCAATGTGGACGCTAAACTGTCTGTCTGAAAGGTAAGACCGAAACCAGTCAAGTGGGCCCATTTCACTTCTGCCCACAATTCAAGCTCTGCCCAAGGCAGCTGAGAGGTCCAAGAGTAACAGCAGAACATGGGAAAGTTTCAGTTGCCACCAAAATCTCATTCAGCACACGAGCGGGAGCACATTCTGTGCTATGGTGCGGCCTGAAACCAGACTGGAAATGGTCCAGGAGGCAGTGCTCTACCAGATGAAGCCATAGTTGAGTGTAAACCACTTTTTCAATAACTGTGGATAAAAATTGAATTTTGAGATGGGTGGGGGGGGGGGGGGGGGGGGGGGTAATCCAGGCCAGGCGTCTTCAATAACGCTTTAACAACTGCATTCTTAAATGCCATCGCCCGTAGATAAGTTCTGTTAACAATGTCCAAAATGAAGGGGGCCAACACAGGGAGGGCCCCAAATATTAGTTTAGGGTGGAGGGAGTCCTCAAGAGAACCACAGGGCTTCGTGGACCTGACCAGTTTCTGACCAGGAAATTGATGGTGACATTCTGGTTCCTCCAGGGTGACCCGCCCCAGAGGCAGCATGCTTCGGATCTTTTACGGTAAGCAGTTCATAAATTCAGTGCAGAAGGTCGTTGTTGGAGCAGAGGGTGTGTCCTTTAAAGAGAGAACAGAATTGATGGCACTAAATCATTCCTGTTGATCACCAAGATGAGTGCTTATAATATTAGGAAAATACTCATTTCTAGCTGCTCTGATGGTTTTCTGATACAAGGACAAGGAGTCCGTCAGCATTTGTAGAGAAATTTGCAACCTGTCCTTTTCCACTTGCATTCATAAGACCTGCTCTGGCATCTAAGGGCTCGAGTCGCTGAGCCAGGGGTCAGAGACTGAGCTTTTACTCCTACTTTTAAGGGGAGCAGCAGAGCTAAGGGTAGGCTCTTTAACCAGTTGGAGACTAAAGGAGTCCAACATATCTAAGAACTCCTTCACCAGAGGCTTTGCAGGACAACAGTCATGAATATTAAAATTGCCTGAGATAATCCACTAAAAATTCAGAGAATTCATTTTAAAAGTTTGAGTTGTATTTAGGCAGGTGGTAGCAGAGTGCAAACAGCACCGAGGGGCTAAAATCCAGCGCAAAGATTGATACATCAAAGCTAGCAGGAGTCACAAGAGCAGAGGGTTGTTTCAGGTGGAGGGTAGACTTAAACATAGTTAGTAGACCCCCACCGGACCGGAAAGTCTGGACACATTTAGCACTGAACAATCCGAGAACTGAGTTCTGAAGGAGCGACCAACTCACCAGGCGGGACCCAGGATTCCATCACGCAGCATAGATTTACCTTGTGATCGACAAAATAATCCCTTAAAATGGCAGTTTTACTGCCAGTTGAACGCACGTTCAGAAGGGCAATCCTGAGGGGTGATGTGGGCCTGGAAGAAGCCATCTGGCAGCATCTGTCACCAAGGGATAGCTGGGGTCGGCCTAGTTAATTCTACCATTTTGTTGCCGTCTCTGGCCGCAATCCGTATGACTGCCTGTGCAAACGGGAATCCCCTGGTCAGTAACCCTGTGAGCAAAGGTTGGATGACTCCACCATGAGTGGCCCAGAAGCTGTAGAGGATCAGATTTCCAAAACAGGAATATGGAAGAATGCCTGAGTCGTGCCCGGCACCCTCCATGCTCGCCCCGTCTATGACATTTCCTTTGCAGCCACGCTGGAGAAGGGGAGCTAAGCAGGAACGCCAGGAACGCAGTAAACAGTGGATGAATGCTCTCCTAAACTCACAGCCGCAGAGATCGATGGATTCTAGCATCTGTCGGAGATCCAGAAGGGTGAGATGATCGTCAGTTATAACAAGACTAGAATTCGCCCGGAAAAAGCACAGGAACAGAATAAACAACAAACGTAGCAAGAGGGGTAGACGGCATGCCAAAGGCACAGGCGCCATTTTGCCAACATTGAACTTGACAAACGGTGTGCTCTGTTGACTTGTTGATCCTCTTTACTACTGTGCCTGAGCCTTCTTTAACCAACAATAGGCTAGTAACGGAAGCCCAGAGGTCCATAAAGCTGAGTCTTCCCTTTGCTCCAAAGACCAGGGAGCAGGAGATCATGGGCCTCTCCACTCCACGCATGTGGTCACACCACATGAGCTGTGTCACACAGTCACACACCAGTAATTCCAATGAAGCTGTTCGACCTCACACCCACGTCCAACCAGGGTAAATCTGGTACAGGGTCCTGAGTCTCACCTGCTGATAGCAGGAAGTAAAAGCGTTCACAGATCTGTCACGACCAGAGGAAAACCTTTATGTATCGTTGCTTAACAATGAAATAAACCTTTCAGATTGGCTGATAGAGTTGGTCATGCTGAACGTGAGCCAGCTCCAGTCACCAGATGAGGGCATCTCTAAGGGTGTAACAGAACACTTAATTCAGGAAACCTTGGTTTGGGGGATGGTGGGAAAAGTAATGGTGGGTTGTTAAACTGAACTCGCAGTAAATTCTCCAAAAACATGTTTTCACATCACGTCAAAATAAAATAAATAACATATAAAAGTTCAAATAGATTCTTTTTAGGGAATGGCTGCAACTGAAAAAAAATGCTGACCTATTAAAAATAGGAACAATCAGTGGCGGCTGGCCAGTAGAGGGCGATAGGGCACCGCCCTCCCAATTTCCCCTGTGTTTTTAACAAAAATAAATCATATATATATATATATATATATATCTGCCGGTCTCTGCCGATTTCTGCCGGTCTCTGCCCAAACAAGACGGGACCAGCTGTCCAATTGCTGACAAGAAAATCAAAGGGTAGGAATGGGAATGTATCCAATCAGTGTCGACGTTGTTTCAGAACGTTTCAGAAGCATGATGGGCGATAGAGCTACCGCCAAGGCTTTCGTTGGTGTTCGGTAGAACTCGGAGAGTCTCGACTCCAGCACGTTTTTGGTCGTGACTCGTGACGGTCGTGACGCAGACGTAGACATGGACGCCAGTGCGCCTACAACATGGATACCGGATCTCAGCAGCCACTGAATTCAGTTCGGTCTCCTCCAGTATCCGTTCGAGAGGAGAACTATGGTGGAAAAACTTAATGTCAAAGAGCTTGGACCAGATCAGCCCGACGTAAAGGTAAGCCAGCAGGTCAAGGAGAAGGGTAAACTGTACACACAATGCTTCTCCCAAAATTGGTACACCAGGAAGCAGTGGCTAGCTGGATGCAATCACGCTAATGCGTTATTTTGCTTTCTGTGTTTGTTATTCAAAACAGCTGGGATCCACAGAAGGTGGATGTGGAACTTGTGTCTCATTGGGGACTCCATTCATTCTCTGACTGAGGAATGCAGCGCATCAGTGCAGCAGCCAACAAAGAAACAGAGGACGTTTGGACAGGGAGAACAGCAGCTGGGTGCAGAGGTAAGCTGTACATTACATTTCTGTAAACAAGACAATCAGAATCAGAAATCCTTGGTTGTCCCACAAACCGGGACATTTGTTTAATAACATGTACATTGTTTAATGTGCAATAACTGTAAAAACTAATTTCAACACACATACCTATTATACATATTTAATCATGTAAA